ACAAGATTAAATAAAGTGTTGTGAATCTGGATACTCCTATCTAGGAGTTGATGGCGGATCGTTCTTAGGTATCAAGAGATTTGGTTGTATGGATGCATGTGTATTGATGTATATCAATATATGGTATCATGGGGAACTCACTAAGCATTGGCTTACAATTGTTGATTAAATGTTTCAAGCACTTCAAATGATCGTGAGAAGGCGAAGGAATGATTGTACACACTCATCAACAACTTTCATGTTTGAGATTCTGTGTTGTCTTATGATACTCTGATTTTTAGGATTATAACTTACGTAACAAATGGTTTTATTGATGTTTGGTTCTATGAAAATGAATTTTTTTCCTTATTTAAAATTTAAAAAAATGTATTGTGAAAATTGAGATGTTACATATTTGTTCGATGGTTGGATTTAAGGGTTAAATAGTAGAAACATGTTGTGGATCACTACATGACAAACTTCATAATTAGAAAGTTAAAATGTTTTCAACAGGATGAATATTGGCCTTATTGAAGTTGGTTTTGTTAGATTAAGGTGTCTAAACCAATAACTAAATTGGTATATACTTGAATTAAATGCAAACTCCTTTTTGGGTTGCTTTCAAAACTAATAATTGAGTAGAATGACATTTGGCGCTTAGTGAGAGAGGTTGATTTATTGATTTATTACGAGATTAATAAATAATAATAAATAATTTGTTAATATATTATGAGATTAATTATTAATTAGAAATAGTATTATTTAATTAATAATTAATCATAAATTAATTTGAATTAATTTTGGGTTTAATTGGATTAATTAAAAGTGCAAGGAATTAAGCTATAATTGTTCAATAGTTGAATAAGAGGGAATTCCATAAGCTTCCAAGCATTGGACGGTTTGGAGAGCATTTTTAGGGTTGATGGAATATTCCTTAAGATTAAGTAGGAGTTGGATAATTACCTAATTTGAAATATTAATATTATATTTAAATTTGGGTTTCCAAGGCTCCTTGTATCAACTATAAATAGGACCCTTTGGCTCCTCATATTCGACCACTCTTGCACTCAAAAGAGTAACCAAAATTCTACTCCCCTATCCCCCCTCCTCTCTCCTCAAGTCTTCAAATTGATAGGGTTTGAGTACAAACCATTAGAGGCATCAAGATTTTGTTGCTTGTTTTCCAAGGCTTTTGAAGAAAGAAATTTATTTGATTATTTTCTATAATAATCAAAAGATATGTAAAACCTAATCCTATATGAATTTCGATTATTGTAGGCTTCCCTTAGGGTTCTTGATATTCATATTCTATTGCTATCAATAGAGAAAACTTAGATCCAAATAGGTTGCATGTGAACTTAAGTGTTAAGTTATTTTTGCCTCATGTATCGAATTATAACCTATAAAACCTATCAGTGGTATCAAAAACTTAGTTTTCTATCTGATTATGCATAATAGTGAATGAATCAAAATTAAGGTTTATAGAAATTAAACCCTAAATGCTTGAATTTTTGCAAAAGGATAAGGTTCTAAAAACCCTAGCCTCCACCCCCCTTAATTTCAAAAATGGATCTAAGGTTTCCGTAGGGTTCACCTTATTTACTTAATTATTATTTTAAATGCCTTAAATTTTGAATAATTAAAGCCAGATAACCCTAAACCTAATTTTCGAAAATTAGTAAGGTTTTGGATTATGATTAAATTTGAATTATTTTATTAATTGTTTAATTGAAAATAATTATTTAATCCCCAAATGATTTAATATAATTTAATTAATTGTTTAATTCAAAGATAAAAGATTAAATCATAATTGGTATAAATTTTAATTAATTAAAAGCTTAAGATAGATAATTAACATTTAAACCTTGTATTCAGAAATGTTTTAAAATACACCTTGTATATAATATTAAAAGTTTAATTACTATATGTATAAGAAAAAGTCAGTCGAATCGCTTGTAAGCATCATTCACGAAGCTATGCTATAAAGAGGGTATAAGGAAACGACCTATAAAATGATCGTTGAATGGGTGCCCTTTTACCCACCGTTTTCCTGTGTGGTGGAGGGTCGTTAGTTGAACGAGTTTGATAAGACACAGTCTTATTAAAAGTATAATGCTATAAAAGTACTAGAACATTCTTTAAAATCCCACTCTAGTTATTTTAGGAAAGTATGAAAAGTATGTTGATCCATGGAAAATACACATCGCATGGCTAACCGGCACACTAATTTGGGACTATAAAGTTGACATGATGGCACAACTCAAAAATTATCATTGTTTAATGGAGCGTGTGTGGTTTACCGACACATTAATTTGAGATGATAAATGACATCGAGATTGTCAAGCGTGTGTGCATGGTGGAGGGTCGTTAGTTGAACGAGTTTGATAGGACATAATCTCATTAAAAGTATAATGCTATAAAAGTACTAGAACATTCTTTAAAATCTCACTCTAGTTATTTTAGGAAAATGTGAAAAGAATGCTAATCAATGAAAAATACACATCGCGTGGCTAACCGACACCCTAATTTGGGACTATAAAGTTGACATGATGGCACAACACAAAAATTATCATTTTTAATGGAGCGTGTGTGGTTTACTGACACATTAATTTGAGATGATATATGACATCGAGATTGTCAAGCGTGTTTGCATTGTTATTCACATCTTGTTTGTGATCCTCGGTATACCAGTCACAAATAGAAGAACAATATCTAAGATTAAATATGTCATTGATAAGATTCAATGAATCTCAAAAGATCTAGGAATTTCATATTAGATTGAAATTGGTAAATTGTCTTACTTACCTTCACTAATTCGCAATAAGACTACGACATCCCTCTTCTTGATTGTGAAATGTATTTTGGTTCCTAGCCTTGAATATTTATTTTAGGTTAAAATATTAAAGATTTATGTCAACCAATTAAAGTTATCTTTCTTATATAAATGTCTACTCTTGGAGATGCTACTACTGCTCAATCTTCCACCAACAACTCGAACTTCACTCTTCTATTGATCCTATCAAAGAAGAAATTAGTTGGTCCAAACTACATGTACTGGATGCGAAATATCAAAATGAATCTTCGATACGAGGGCAAAGAATATGTTCTCGATAAACCTCTACTCGAAGTCGATGAGTCAACTGCTACTTCAGAGGAGCTTGCCACCTATAAGCAACACTATGACGACGCAACAAAGGTTGCTTGCATCATGGTAGCAACCCTGGTACCTGAGTTTCAAAAGTTCTATGAGGACTGTTGGCCATATGAGATGTGCTTGGATCTTGTTGAAAAGTTTCACAAGAAAGCACGTCAAGAGAGGTATGATGTCCTCAAGATGTTAATGGCATACAAGTTGAAGGAGGGAGAATTTGTCTGCAATCATGTGCAGAGAATGCAGAGATATGTGGAGCGTTTGGAAAAGCTCAATGCATCATTTGAAAAAGAGTTGGCCATAGACACGATCCTAAACTCCTTGCTTCCCAGTTATGATCAATTTATCTTAACGTATCATTTGAATAACATGGAGACCACATTGACCTAACTCCACAACTTGTTACAGATAGTTGAATCGGGGATGAAGAAAAATCAGGTCTCTTCTGCCACACGTGCTCATGTCCTTTCCATTGGGAAAACAGAGGAAAGAAAAGGAAGACTAATCCTCAATCGAACTCGAAGGACAAGACCCATGGTGGAACGTCTAGCAGTGGGTCGAAGTCAAAGCCCAATTCTAATTCTGATATTTCTGTTGTTAGTGATCCTAAAGAGGCAATTTGCTACTATTGTTACAAAAAATGGCATTAGAAACGAAGTTGCCCTAATTACTTGCAAGATTTGAAGGATGGCAAGGTCAAGTCATCTTCGGCAGGTATATACACTATTCCAACTACAATATGGATGTTATGGAATTTGTGAAATTTACTAATGTTTGGAGTGAAAAAAAAAACATGAGGAAATGTGATTTTTTTCTAAAAGATTGTTTCTTAGTCTTACTTTTAGTTATTTCGTATGAAGTCAAAATAAAAACTTACTTGAGTTAACAGTTAAAAAAAATTGCTAAAATATTTTACAAATTTTGCTTTCGTTGGTTTCACAATATCATGGAATATGTTTTATATTACAATTTTGTTTAATATTCACTTCATTACAAAAATGATTTAGAACCAAACAACTTGTAAGGCAATAAACACCTAAATAAAAAATAGTTTTTTATTTAACATTTTTATGCACGTCATTTAATAGTTGGAGAATTAACCAATCCGACTTCGGAAAGGGTACGACTCTAATATCCCCGAGAAGGAGGTCGAAACATTTTAAAATGATTTTTTAGTCGCAAAGCACATTCAAACATGTTATCCGTTGAATTCCACCGAGTAGGAAAGTTCCAATTCGAACCCAACCAAAAGAAGTTGCCTCTTACAAAACGTTATATTTCTATGATATATAATGTTGTCAATCCAGAAAAACTATTGCAATCTTTCTTTAAAACTTGATCTAACAAGTTTAATGAATTTAAGTCCGTCTACCACATCCAAGTTTATTATGTGTGCAAAACTCAAGTACGAAAATATCGTCCTTTGAGATTTTTTTATGTTTGATTTTAAGTCGTCCAAGGACTTTGATATTATTTGACACAACATAAAAAAAAAACTAGCAAATGTTTCATTTTATAATTTAAAAACTGTTATTACATATTCTAAATTTGTATATAAATTATGTCTGGTTTGCGTATATGTTATGATACTTATATGGTTGTGTCACAAAATTGCTCGAAAACAAACCCACATACTCACACGTGGGACCTAGAACAGTTCTTGATCTTAAAAATGTATGAAACATAAAACATATTGATATTTCTTGCAAATTGCTACAGGGTTTTGAGTCGCATCATTCCAATACCATAGTCCATATTACTCTAATATGATTTGTATTTGGTAGTCTCAAAAATCGTGTTTGTTATATACATGGTAAACTTCAGGAATGGTTATAATTATGTCGCGATTTCTTTATTCATGTATTATTACATGTTATTATATGACATAATTATAAAATCTACATATATAAGTACTCAATTTCTTATAGTAGTTACTACATTGAATTAAAATCCGCGTACTTCAGAAATTGCTTCAAATTTTGCTAACTTTTTACCTCACTTCTAATCTTCTATAAATCACTCCCAACTTTATATATATATACAAGCTAGCTACCTTTGAAGTGACACACCATCTTCATTATAACTCCATTTTCAGCTGACTAGTCAGCCAAGAAGCTATTTACAATCAACAAAATTGGTTCAATCAAATGAACATTATAATTAATTACATGATAACAAGATTTTATTTACGTGATAACAAGAATTTGATTACGGATTTAATTAATTACCTGAATTGCCTGAAGAGTCGTAGCTCAAAAGTGAGGTCTCTGGCGTTACCAAGTTAGTGAGTCCATCAGGATGCCATATTTCTTGTGTGTTCCCATTCACTTCTCCATCGGGCCACCATGATTGTGAAGCCATGCCCGTGAAGTTGCACTCCATCGGGGACCCACTCTGCAAGGTTTTCAAAACATCGATGAAATAAAAAAGTAAATGGTTGTCATGAGAAAAAGCCAACATATAACATACTTGTATTATGTTTGACATGTAACAGGCTCATACTAGGTAACAGACTCATACTAGGACTGATGTCAATGAGAAAAAAAATATATTTTTAGTTGCACCAAAAAGATGGAGTAACGTAGAACTTGTGTCATTTTGTCTATGTAAAAGACGTTAATGTCCTCCTTACTGTTTACCTATACTTTTTATTATTAGAAAAATGGTGTTAGTGAACAGTATAACACAAAATATGGTTTTATACTAGTGCATTAACATCAAATATGGTGTCGGAGTTTCTTTATACAAGTGGTTCTTTTTAACTTTGAGTTTGTGTTCTTTTTAGTTTATTATTATTATTATGACATTATACTAAAGATTAAATTGATATTAACTTATTTTTACCTCTGAGGAAAATAAACTTTCGAGGTTGATATCAGCTCTTGGGTGAACAGCAGCGAGTTTCATCGATAAAAACTGCAATAAAAATTGAAGGTTTTGAGAAGAAAATGGTAATAATTTGAGACCAAATTTAAATTGTTATTAAGATCGATAAAAGATTGTAATAGTTTGAAAAAGACTAATTAATTAACCTCTACTTGAAGTTGTAGGGATTGTACATGATTGATGATCTCCTCAAGCACCATTGCTGTACCAGAAACCTACGATTTAGAGTTGATGAGTTTCAAGGAGTATATATTATTAATTATATAATAGTTGTTGATGTAGCATTATAGACCATTTTTTAGATGGGTGTAATTGTATATTTCTCTTGATGTAAGAGAATGAAAAATAGGTGTAATGCATAGAAATGATAAATTTATCATATCCTTACAATAAGATATTTATGAAGAGTGTATTTATTGCTAAAGCAAGCATAGCTAAAGCTAGCAAAATAAATGCCATAATTTCCATTTATATAATATCATAATAAAATGTAGTTTTTTATATTCTTCCAATAATGATTATAATGTTCATAATATAATTTTATTTTGACTAATTTTTAGTGGCTGTGTGGTAACCTTTTAATTTTTAAATTAAGAGATTTAAATTAAGAGAGATTTTTAATTTTTTAGATTCAAACGTTTGATAGCCTTTTATCTTTTTATTATTCAATAACCTCTTAATTTTTAAGATAATGAATTATATATATATATATATATATATATATATTTTTTTAAAAAGAGTGAGAAGTGTTGGAAAAGATCCTACTTTTTCAACAAACTATTTTTCTTTTCTATTTTACACAATCCCCTCATATTTTTCATTCAAACCTTATAAAAGTTTAGATCCTAACAACAATGTATTAATGTCACAAGCAATTATTAATTTTAAGCCACATAATCTTCTATTTTAAAAGTAACTTTTTAACGTATTTGTTTAGTGGGATTATTTGAAAAGTCAAATGTGATCATGCTAACCTTGTTACAACCAGGGACCAGTTCTTGCAAAAGCTTCATCCGAGCATTAATCTTCTCTCGTCTTGCCTGTCAAATCAACAAATAATCAATCCATAATTATTGATTTATAAATGCACTGATTTTGATGAATGATTATGAATTTATGATTACTCGTTCAGCTAAGCTATGGCTATCAGTAGCTTCACCCCGCCGAGCTCGAACATGAACGTACGGAAGCTTCTCGCGTTCGGTGACTTTTGCAGCGGTTTTGCTCTTCTTCCCCGATGATTTCACCTAATTTTGATAAATTTTGCTTCTAATAGGTCAGTTACTTGAAATTAGAATCGTAGAAATTGAGGTAAAATGGCGAATCAAGTCACAAACCGTCTTTTCTCGATCCTTTCGTTTTGTTGACATTGAATCTATGGGATCTGAGTAAATCGGTGATGAATTGTGCAGGGAACCTGATTCCAGAGGCTCTTGTTTCACCGGATTACTGATAATACGGTTCGGATGTTGTAGAATTAGAATTGATCCCGTCGTCTCCGGCGAATTCTCCTTCGCCGTCACGGAGGGGAAAACGTTTGGTGTTTCTTCCTCCGGCGAATGTAGAAGCTTCACGGCTTGATTCGGTGGAAGCTCGAGAAGAGCCGTGAAGGAATTGCCAGTCTCCAGCGGTGGTTCCGCCGACATCAGGTTCTGAATCTCTTCATCCACAAACTGAAACGCTTCCAAATTCATATTTCTTCGAAGAGGAATCACAGCCAAAATATCAAAAACTGTTAACTAAAAAAGGGCTTTATAAAAGCACGCAAAGTTGAAGGGGGGCCAGACTGAGACAAGTTGCTTCGAAAACTGAGAAGTCATTGGCAATGACAATGGCAATGGCAACTGGCAACCGCTGACGGAAAATGACGGAAGGTAAGGGTAAGTGCACTTTGTGCGGCAGAGAAAGGCGTTCAGCTTTCTCTGTTTTCAATGAAAAAAAGCCCCTCAAAAACTGGATATCGTACTGGTTCTTCAATGGCAGTCAATCTGGCAAGGTATGTGTAGCTTTATTGATTCTTGTTTTCAAGAAGCCATTTAGAGTAGTCCGAAAGCAACGTTTTCTCTATGGTCCCCTGGCTTCAATTTGATTCTGCAACCAAATTCATCTTTCTTTTTTCTTTCTTTCTTTCAAGAGAGTTGATGGCGGGGACCGGATCGTGCATCCGTATTCGACCCCGGTGTGTCTTAAGTCTTAACTACGGAAGATGATCCATCGCTTTCTTCCATTATTTTTTAGGCATTCTCTCTTCATGTACTTATACTTAGCCCTTTTCTATCATTTTAATATCAAATGACGTTAAAAGGAATATCAAATTTCATTTTATGTTATATTATTGATAACTCTTATTAATTCCTATTATAATAATTATTTTTTGTTGAATAATTTAAAACCAGAGGTAGCACCCTCCATCCTGTCCGATATTATAGACATGAGCGGACGTATGTGTTTTTGAAATATGTATCTGCCACTTATTGTAGAAGATTTGTATATTTATGATAAATAATACAGTATATAATTTAAAATTAAATTAAGTTTAATTATGCATACAAGTAAAGAAGTAGGTTTATATGAAAACACTGAAAATATAAAAAATGCAATAACAAATAAAAAGTTTTAAGTTATCATCAAAGTGGCAATTTGATAGTTAGTTGATAGTTTAGTAATACAATTGAAGACAATTAATTTAAATTAATAAAAGATATGGGTATTAGGGTAATTTTTAATTACCTCAATATTTAATCTTTTGAAAATCTATAATTCACGTTGATTTTATCCTTGAAATTGCTAAAATTGAAATTGCCAAAATCAAGCAACTTTGAATCGAACAATGATAATAAATAGTAATATTGTATCGCTTGAAAATACCAAACTACTATAAAAAACCTAAGCACTATGTTAACAATATGACGATGCTTTCTCGTCTTTGATTCACGGTTTTTCTGACATTCACGATAGCTTAGGTTGGATTTTGGATGCTTTTGATATTTTTTCTGTGTCTTTTGTGAGATTTTATCAAGATAGTCATAGGTTGATTGGTTCTGATATTACAACTACATGGAACAATTTTGTTCTAATTAAGTTCAACATTTTATTATGACACATTCGGTTGCTGCGTATTCCTACTCGACAAACCTTGCTGATAGAGGTTTGGAGTTGGATTCTATTATTTGACTGATGTGTATGCTTGAGGTCAAGAAGGTGGCTCATATGTTCTTGGTTTGTCCGCATAATATTGCTATTTAGATGCTTATTAGTAGCTGGTGGGTTGTTGATTTGTCTCCTTTGGTGCCTTTGGACTCTTTGATTCATTAGGCGGACCGTGTCTCTTTGGTCGCTAAGCAACGGAAGGTTTTTTATGCAATGGTTGTCGTAGATTTTTTGGGTGTTATGGAATTTTGGTAATGTTCAAATTTTTGGAACAATTAAACCCAAGAAAGCAACTATTTTTATGACGTTGTAGCTAGATCTTTTTTTTTTTTTTTAATTTGTAATAGACGTAAAAAACTGAAGATGTTTTGGGTTGCTTAGTTGCAAAACCTTGTTGTAGCCAGTACTTCTTTTTATTGTTTTCTTTGCTAGTTCTTTGTTAGTCTTAATAAACCATGTCATTTAAAAGAAGCGGCTATCTATGTTTGCAAGTCAAAAGAGAAATGTTTGTGCATATTTTTTCTTCAAATTTGAGTTTTGGCATCAACATTGATATTCATCATAATGATCATCGGTCATTAACTTCACCATCATCACCGTTGTTCATTTTATATTTATCGTAAAAAGTACCGCTAACCCTTTTTCTTCTTAATTATCCTCATTAATTCATTATCGCCTTTCTCCTCACCAACATCACCGATCATCGACTTTGCCATCACTACCCTCGTCTCTCTCTCTCTCTCTCTCTCTCTCTCTCTATATATATATATATATATATATATATATATATATATATATATATATATATATATATATCTTATTGTTCGACCCTTTCACAAAATATGTTGTTGCTCAAACGACATTGAAACCAACAATCCTTTACTTCTTTCTGCATGAAGATTAAGAATCGCTAGCGACATGTAGATCAATGATTTTTCAAATCTATCTCTACATTTGTTGGGTTTTTGCGTCTCTCTCTCTCTCTCTCATTGTTCGACCATTTCACACAATATGTTGTTGCTCAAACGACACTGTAACATCCCAAAAATCACTAACAAATTTTTTTTATTTAAATAATTTATAAAACGGTTTACTGCAAACATCATCAATATCATATCAACCCGTAAGCCCATAAGTCAAATGTCATAAAACATGTCATGGAAGAATAATGTCAGAGTACAATCCCAAGAACATCATGGTGCGGAAAATAATGGTGTGATGCGCTGCTACCGAGTCGACTCCTTTCCCTTCGAAGAAGAAGGACCTGAAACAAAAACTGTAAACCGTAAGCACAAAACTTAGTGAGTTCCCCCATAATACCACATACCAAACTATAAACATATTGTCAGACATATCTGGGTGCCCGACCTACCCTGCTGAGCATACCGGGGTGCTCAACCTACCCCTGCTAGGCATACCGGGGTGCCTAACCTACCCCATGTCAGGCATATTTGGGTTCCCGACCTACCCTCCGGTGTATCTCAACCGATTACGGGGACTATTTCACCCCCTACTACTACCACATAACAACATATCATAGACATACTGTCAGGCATACCGGGGTGCCCGACCTACCCCTTGGGTCCTTTTGACCTGATATGGGGACTATCCCCCCTACTACCACTATCACATCACATCATTCCAGGCTAGCATATAAAACATAACAGATAGTGGCAACCCAGATAACTATCAAAAAGACAGTTATCTGAAATACAACTCCTACCAGTGGGTTGGCATTGTGGCCGTAGACCCACTTCTACTGGAAGGTAACTCACCTCAATGTCGTGCAGTAACCGAACTGTCCTCGGTGCTGGGATCAACTCTCCTCAAACTCCTACAAATAACAGTCTCCTTTAGTTACTCTTCATATTCATATCCCCTTTAAGGGTCAATCTAGGGTAATGGCCAAGTCAAAGTCAAATTCAATGCTCTGGTCAAAGTCAACATCCTGGTTGACTCAACTCGCCGAGTTGGTCCATCAACTTGTTGAGTTCCATAATTCATAGAATCTTGAATTCGCGATCTGACTCGTCGAGTTACCCTCTAACTCGCTGAGTTTCTCATCATAACAGAATCGGTACTTTCCATTTGAACTCGTCGAGTCCTTCCTTGGACTCATCGAGTTCTCCTTTATACAGTCGAGACATTTTCTCACTGACTCGCCGAGCTCATCCTTGGACTAGTCGAGTTTTTGGCCTTTAAGTCTGAAACACGTCTAACTGGCTGAGTCGTCTACTAGACTCAACAATTTTGCTATGTAACCAAGAAGGTCGGGGAAACCATTATCCGACTCGCCGAGTCCTAAGAACGACTCGTCGAGTCCCCCATGATCCAAAACTATATAGTCGATCTCAGTCGGGCTTAGCTCATCCAGAACATAGATCTGGCCTCCTAGGGTCGATATAACACGTAAAGTTTCAAACTTTACGTTCATGCATGGGCTATTTAGCCTAAAAAGCCCTAATAAGTGGTTCCTAGGATGCATGGGACTCCCATGGCCATAAAGTTGGCACCTTTATGCCATGGAGTCCCTCAAAGGCTCTGGATCTGAAGTGAATGCCCCAAAACATGCTTGCATCATGAATGGTTCCACAAATGGCTCCTTAAAGCCCTAAACTACCCCAAAAAGAGATCTAACAGATGAATGGTCAAGGTATAATATTATATCTTAAAAGAGCTGGAAATGGAACACAACTCCTGGATCTAATTGCTTCCTCTTGATCTCCCAAGCTTTTTCTTCCTACTCAAGCTTCAAAACCACCACAAATACACAAAAATGGCTCAAGAACACTCAAAATCGGATAGGGTTTCGAGTTAGGGTTTTCTGGACTAAGGGAGGCGATGAGGGAGGCCATAGTGGGGGTGTTACGGTGTTTAAATAGGGTTCAAACCCTGAAAATTAGGGTTTCACTGTGGCAGACCTACTCGTCGAGTAGACTTCAAGTCCCGCGTCCGCATATCCAATTCCTACTCAACGAGTTTGGGGCCTCCAACTCGTCGAGTCCCTTTGTAAAAATACATAATTCTTATTTAAAATACGTACCAGGAACCGGGCGTTACAGACATTGAAACCAACAATCCTATTCTGCATGAAGATTAAGAATTGCTAGCGACATGTAGATCAGTGATTTTCCAAATCCATCTATACATTTGTTGGGTTTTTGCGTTTTTTGTGGCGCAAAACAATGGGTTCAAGTCTTCAAGATGTTAGACATGTATTATAGTTGTGTTTTATTCATTATAATTACACTTATATTAGATTTTTTATCTCTATAAAAATTAGATTTTTTATATATGATTACAACTATGTTTTATTTATGATTAAAAATATTATGAATTTGTTTATCATTATAAAAATTGGATTTCTTATATGATTATAGTTGTATTTTATTCATTTATATTACAGTTATATTGGATTTTATAACGTAGTATAAGAAATAATATTTTATAGTTAATAACAATAACTTAATTATTTACAACATCATACATATATTCACACTTTTACCAATTAATGAAGTATATCATCCTCGGCAAAATCAGTTGGGACATACCACGCCCGAACCACAAGCTAGAGGCCAAGGCGCTAAGATCGGTACCAAAAGCAGCCCTGCATGCTGAACCAAAGAAGGTTCTTCCGAGCCACTCGAGTGATTGGATGAACCACGCAAAATGTCCGATGAAGTTTGGTAATGTCTCCAAACAACCTGTAATAGACTAACATCTATTATAGACTGTAACATCTCATACGACAAGACCAATGACATTTTGTAAGTACTGCTTTTGTACCTTCGCCCTGCATGCATCAATGACCATTAGACCAACTCCTGCTCAGCTTACCCATGGCGCCATTTCCCCATGCATAACGGTATAAAAGCAGACCCAAACTAACGAAAAAGGTAAGCAAATCTATCTAACTCATTGTTCATATCCTTTCACTCCCTATCACGCTTCTAACTTAAACATCAAATCATTCTCCCGGGAAGAATTCCTGACGAATGTTTAACGTTTTGTTATGTTCTTCAGGTTCGGTTTGTCATCATCAGCGCATCCCAAACCAACAATCTTATATCCAGGACACGAAGAATCCAGGGCACAT